AGGAGGGAGTGCTCTTGAAGCCCAACTCCAACACGATGTGCTTGGAGAAGGAGGGGGAGTTCCATGCGGTCCATCTCTTGAGAGAAGATGGCCCCCATAGTGCTCTATCGGCCATGCAAGTATTGAAGGGGTTCAAGAAGAATGAACCAACCTTTCTTGTGTCCTTGAAAATGGAGGAAGAAGGAGGCTCAACGGAAATCACAACTCCCATCATCGAAGGCGTCCTCGAAGAGTTCGACGACATGATGCCATCGGAGTTGCCCAAGAAGCTGCCACCAAGAAGAGAGGTGGACCACAAGATCGAGTTGGAGCCAGGAGCGAAGCCCCCTTCGCGAGCCCCATACCGCATGTCGCCACCGGAGCTAAAAGAGTTGCGGAGGCAGCTCAAGGACTTGGTGGACGCAGGCTACATGCGGCCATCGAAGTCACCTTTTGGAGCACCGATGCTGTTCCAAAAGAAGAAGGAAGGGTCGTTGCGGATGTGCATCGACTATAGAGCCATCAACAAGTTGACGGTGAAGAACAAGTGGCCGATTCCCCACATTGCGGACTTGTTCGACCAACTTGGAGATGCGATGTGGTTCACCAAGCTTGATCTTCGCTCGGGCTACTATCAAGTGCGGATAGCAGAGGGCGACGAGCCAAAGACGGCTTGTGTGACGAGGTATGGCTCTTACGAGTTTCTTGTGATGCCATTCGGTCTCACCAACGCACCAGCCACGTTTTGCACTTTGATGAATCAAGTGTTCGAGCCATTCTTGGACCGGTTTGTCGTGGTCTACTTGGATGACATCGTTGTGTATAGCAAAACACTCGATGAGCATGCCAAGCATCTACGCCAAGTCTTCCAAGTCCTTCGCGACAACGAGTTGTATGTCAAGAGGGAGAAGTGCACATTTGCCGCCACGGAAGTTCCATTCTTGGGGCACATCATTGGTGGAGGCAAGTTGAAGATGGATGGAGCAAAGGTGCAGGCAATCCAAGAATGGGAGCCGCCGACGAAGGTGCCAGAGTTGCGGTCATTCCTCGGCCTTGCCAACTACTATCGGAGGATTATCAAGGGCTACTCCAACATTGCAGCACCCTTGACGGATCTCTTGAAGAAGAACAAGGCGTGGGATTGGTCGGAAAGGTGCCAAGAAGCATTCGAGGCCTTGAAGCAAGCGGTGGTGAAGGAGCCCGTGCTCGTGCTCCCCAACCCGACGTTGGCCTACGAAGTGCAGACCGATGCATCCGACTTCGCGATTGGAGGCGTGTTAATGCAAGATGGGCATCCCATTGCCTTCGAGAGTCGGAAGCTTAGCGAGACGGAGAGGCGATACACCCTTCAAGAGAGGGAGATGACGGCCGTGGTGCATTGCTTGCGCACATGGAGGCACTACTTGTTGGGGTCAAAGTTCGTAGTGAAGACGGACAACGTGGCAACGAGCTACTTTCTGACGCAGAAGAAGCTCACCCCTAAGCAAGCGAGGTGGCAAGACTTTTTGGCCGAGTTCGATTTCGTCATGGAGTACAATCCAGGCAAGGCGAACTTCGTTGCCGATGCTCTTAGCCGCAAGAGTGCAGCCGCAAGCGTCAGCCAGCCCATGTTTCCTTTGAAGGAGCGGATCGTTGAAGGCCTTGGCCATGACCCCTTCGCCAAAACCGTAGCGGAGTACATCGAGCAAGGCAAGACTCGACGGTTTTGGATGAAGGATGTGCTCATCATGACCAAGGGAGAGCGAGTGTTCGTGCCAAGGTGGGCCAACTTGAGAAAGGAGATCATGAAGGAGTGCCATGATTCCAAGTGGGCGGGCCATCCCGGCATCGAGAGAACACAAGCGCTCATCGAAGAAGCATACTTCTGGCCGCGTATGAGAGACGACGTGGAGATGTATGTGAAGACTTGTCTTGTGTGCCAACAAGACAAGATGGAGCAGAGAAGCCCGGCAGGCTTGCTAGAGCCCTTGCCCACACCTCAACGACCATGGGAGAGTGTAAGCATGGACTTCATCATCGGACAGATTCTCGAAGTATGGAGTGTTCATCCCCGGCCCAAAAGACATGACGGCAGAGGATGCGGCGCGGCTATTCTTCATGAACGTGGTCAAGTATTGGGGCGTTCCTAGCAATATCGTGAGCGACAGAGATGGGCGCTTCACGGGCAGATTTTGGCGAGAGTTGTTCAAGATCATGGGCTCAGACTTGAACTTCTCGACGGTGTTTCATCCTCAAAGCGACGGACAGACGGAGCGGGTGAATGCTTTGTTGGAAGTGTACTTGCGGCACTACGTGAGTGCAAACCAACGAGATTGGGTGAAGTTGATGGACACGGCACAGTTCTCCTACAACTTGCACCGTAGCGAGTCGACCAACACGAGTCCATTTGAGTTGGCGACGGGGCAGCAACCTTTGACACCTACGACGGTGGCAACGGGGTATAGAGGCAACAGTCCGGCAGCCTACAAGTTCGCTAAAGGCTGGCACGATAAGATGGAGATGGCCAAGTCTTACTTAGCCCGCGCTAGTAAGAAGATGAAGAAATGGGCGGACAAGAAAAGGCGGCACTTGGAGTTTGAAGAGGGGGACATGGTGATGGTCAAGTTCTTCCCTCATCGCTTCAAGCATCTCAAGAACGTGCACAAGGGACTGCTTCGCCGCTATGAAGGGCCATTCCTCATCGTGAAGAGGATTGGCACGGTGGCGTACAAGGTTGAGTTGCCGACGCACTTGGAGATCCATCCGGTCTTCCATGTGAGCCAACTCAAGCCTTTCCACGAAGACAAGGAGGATGAGCAGCGAAGAGAGTCGCAACGCGCTCCAACACTCATCACCAAGACACACGACCATGAAGTTGAAGAAGTCATGGCGCGTCGTGTCATTCCTCGTCGTGGCGTACATCCAAGCTTTGTGGAGTACTTGGTCAAGTGGCGCAACCTTCCGGAAAGTGAAGCAACTTGGGAGAAAGAGCTCACGCTTTGGAAGAACAAGGACTTGATCGAGGCATTCCATCAAGAGGACGCGACGAGGGCGTCGCGAGCATAGGTGGGGGAGGATGTCACATGTGGCAGATGACATGGCGCCAACAAGGTGACAACAAGGCGGCTGCACATGTGGCATGTATGGAAGACTAGTAGCATAGAGATGCTCCTAGGATTCTCCACCTAGATGAGAGCTTAATGGTGCACTTATGGGCTACATTATGGTAGTATTAATAGAGTGCATTATGGGGGGACTTTATGGGGTGTATTGATGTAGTAGAGGGACCATTATGAGGGGCATTGATGCCTTGTATGAGGAGAGGCCTATATAAGGAGCCATCTCCCTCACTTGTAACTCATTCCATCATTTTTGAGAGTAATACACACTAGAGAGTTCTCCCCAATTCCTTTGTCTTTGTTCTTGTTCTTTGCTTTCAAGTGAGTTGAGAGAAAGGCTGCCTAGCGCTCTAACGCATTTGAGAGCTAGGGCCGCACGATCGAGAGTAAGGTCGTGACAACACCCGCTGGCTCGCATGCAGTGTCGTTTGGAGGAATCAGAGGTGTGATTTGAAAGACCACCTATTTTTCATTTTCCCACAATTAAAAATGGATTGTAAGGACACTATTTTGGCATAAACGAAATTCTAGATGAGTTATAAAAAAAAATAACAATGTTATAACTTAGGTTTTCTTGAATATACTTTTTCAATCTCAATTTTCTTGAGATTATTTTTTCTTGAAATAAGACCAAATTTTACAGTCTTATATTAATTATGTATTTTGAATGTACTAGTGCCATAACTTAGGTTTACTTCATTTATAACTAAAATAATTTGTAAAATTTCATTTCTATTCTTTTAAAGCCCGATGAAAATAATTTATATCTCACATAGTTCTAACTCAAATGTTGGTCGATGCAACAGTTTCACAAATCGTACAACCTTAATTATTTCTTAAATGAGTCCAACATTTCAATCTGCTAGGCTACAAAAGTACTCTACCATCCATAACAATGTTGCCAAAATCCGCAATTTTCACGACCTAAAGAACAACCTGTCTTTGACTTTTGACTTACCCCAATTTGTATAACCCTCTCCTCAACCATGTATAGATAGCTTGTAGGGTGCACTCACAAAAAAATCGTGCATACTATGCACCCAACTTTAAAACTATTATTAAAACATCAAATTTTGAATAGCAATTGATAATATTAGTTTAATATAATAATATAACATATGATCGATCACAAATTTCCAATATATTTTCCTAAGTCCTAAACCTTCAATTACCAACGGTAACCTTAAATCCCAAAATTGTGGATCCTAAACCCTAAGCATAAATTGCATAAATTGTTAAACCCTAAATCATTCAACTCAAAGTAAATATTGAATGAGTTTTGTGCAAATTCATGCGTTTTATTGTCTATTATATCATAAGTGACGATTGACATCATTTTGACATAAATCACCAGCTAAAAAGACGATTATGAAGTGGTTTCAAAACCATATATATTGCAGCCACGGGCATGCATGTGCTGTTTCTTTGATCGGCCTATATATATATTACTGCATCATCAGCTACATTTGAAGGCTAGCTACCCGTTTCTTCTGGTACGTACGTATTATTATGTTGTTGGTTCTATAGTTACATAGTTAATTAATTATAGCAATTATATGTGACTGATGATGCAATTTATTATTTACGATCTTTGGTCCCATTGTGGCTTACTGGGTTGCACACATCAGTGCATCATAGCCACGCATGTGCTACGTCATTTTTTTTTTTTGGTAATGAATCACGACGCATGTTCTATTTCTTCGAGCGGCATATTATGCCATCTTCCTCAGCTAGATTTGAAAGAAATCTTAGCTGTTAATTTCCTCTTGTATGTGTTGTTGGAGTTGGTTCCAGGCTCTAGCTAGCAAGTAGTGTTTTTTTGTTGTTGTTGTTGTTTCTGGATCTTTTGTATGCTCTTATACGTATATATATAGGCTGGTTTCCTATAGCTAGTCAGTCCATCGATCGATAGATAGAGCAAAAATGACGTTGTGGGAATTAGGTTATTATGTGAGTGATGAGACAATGGCGACCTTTGGTCCCGTCGTAGTTTACTGGTTATACGCTGGCTTCTATCAGATCATTCTGTCTTCTTCGAATCTCTTGGACGAGTACCGTTTGCATACGAGGGAGGAATCGGCAAAGAAGAACTTGGTGCCGTTGTCAAGAGTGATGAAGGGTGTTCTAGCTCTGCAGATCTTGCAAACAGCGATTGCGTATCTCTATTACTTATGGGTTAGTATATAAATGCGTATATCTTCAGTACTCAAATTTCCGACTTCGTCATTGACTGAAACCGTTCAATTCTCTGGAAAGTTTATGTTCGATGTGATTTCCGGATTAGTTTATCTTACAAAATCTTTCCAAGTATTTTAAATTATGTCAATATCGATATGCGTCGATCCTACGACGATAAGAAGTTTTTTTTTTTTTTTTTGAATGAAAGTTTAGCTAGAAATGAATGCTGAATATACTTATATACATATTCCCACTGCATGCCATAAGAAAATTAAATTTCTTAATATTGTCATTGAAGACAAAAGGAATTATGATGGTAAACCATTTCAATAATTTTTTTTATGCCATTCCCTTTGTTTAGTAGATACCTTGAATAGTGTACCACATTGGATACTACTCCAAGAGTAAGGTTTTGTAAGAATCGTTGGACCTCAAATGTGCGATCACAAGGTTGTATAGTTGTCATATTTTTTTAATTAGGTGCGCGAATATATTGTACATGCTATACCATATTTTATGTTTATATCAATATCAATATCGCGAGATCCTATTTATTATAGTAATTCGGCCAGAAGATAAATTTTTGTATCCTTTATGGGGTTTTTCTATCGAATGAGCAAACTCATAACATCAATAATATTTACATCATTCAAAATTGAGCTCTACAACATTCCCTTCATTTCACATCTTTTTATGTTCTATATATATATATTTTATGCGGTATCATATTTTATGTCTAGATCGATATCGCGAAATCCTAATATTTTTCACCTAGAGAAGATTTTTTTTGTCTTTCTTTATGGAGGTTTTTTTTAATGATCTAACACATAACACCAATAACATTTACAGTTAAAAACGGATGGATCTACACCAAAAGCGACGAAGATCATCCAACCCTCCATTTCCATCCAAACCTTGCAGATCCTGATAGCGATGTTCGTAATGGACACGTGGCAGTACTTCGGCCATCGATACATGCACCACAACAAGTTCTTGTTTCGCCATGTCCATCACCAACACCATATCTTCGTCGTGCCTCATGCCATTGGAGCCCTCTACAACCACCCTGTCGAGTCGCTCTTGCTCGACACACTAGGAGGCGTAGTCACTCTGTCAATCTCTGGAATGACTCCAAGAACTGAGGCCATATTCCTCTGCTTCACCATGTTGAAAGCCGTGGATGATCACTGTGGGATTTGGTTCCCTAGAGGGAATCTGATCCAGAGGTTGTTTACGAACAGTTGTGCGTACCATGATGTTCACCATCAAGTGCGTGGTGGGAGGTACAATTTTTCTCAGCCGTTTTTCCCCTTTTGGGACAAGCTTTTGGGAACTCATATGCCTCATGTCGTTTTGAGGCGGCCCGAAGGAGGATACGAGGTAAAGATGGTTAAAGACTAGGTAAAATTCAGCTAGCAGTCTTTTGTTGGTCGTAAAATTTCAATAATCTTAGCTAGAAGGTGAAGAGTTAAACATGTTGATGCCTAATAATGGAGCAAGGGTTTGGAAGAGGGTTCCTTGGTAGTAAATTAATGACAATGTGACAATAATAAATGTACGTATAAGTGATGCACATAGTGAACGATTTTGAGACTACATTCAATGACAACTGAGCACAAGTGGTGCATGTAGTAAAAGATTACAAAATCTTACGAGGCAGAGATTATATATTAAAGACTTTGCAAACTGATCATGATAGCAACACAATTACTGTAACTAGTCATGGTACTTCGCTGGACTACAAGTTTTTTGGTTGTAAAGTTTTAATAATCTTTTTTTTTAACATAGACAATAGCTAGGTAAATCCCTAGCCAATACAGAGTCAAAGAACAAAAGATAAACACCGTGCGGTAGTCGATAAATAGTCGAACTTCCGATGAAAGGGCCTGTTATGCCACAAAATGGGCAGCCCTATTAGCAGCTGTACCTGCAAAATGAGCAAACACATAGCCGCAAAAGGCAGAAATCTATAAACATTGAGAACAACTGTGTCAAAATCCTTACTCTTACAATCTCAAGCAAAACGCTTCCTCATCGAGGATTACCCAACCGGCCACTAAAGGTTCCAAACAGGAAAGCCATTCCCACCAACAACTTAGTCTAAAAACCCAAATGAGAAGTGTATCTGGAATGCCTACCGAAAATGCAACCATTCCTTTGAGAAAGCCATTTAATTTGTTATAGAGAACAAGAAGTGAAAAAGTGCACAAAACAGGATGCAACCACAAGCAAGGGATAAACACACCCCTAATTTCCAACCATAATCAGAGAACGATGGAAATGGGACCAAAAACACAATAGAAACTAAATAAAATGGATAAGAGACTTGATAAATAAATAAAAACTCAAGGAAAAGAAGTTTAGAACGTGGCAAACTCAATCAAAAAATAAACAAACGTGGAATTATGATAAGGGAAATGAAAAAAAGAAAACGGTAATTATGAAAATCGGAACACAAAAAAGAATTAGGGAAAAATTAAAAATACTTATCTTGGGACGGTTGGAATCCACCGTGAGTTGTAACCGTCTGCCCACGAATGAGAGAAGCAACTGCAAAAGATTGTAACCGTTGCACTTATTGCGGCCGCCGAAAAAAGTGGCCATCCGTCGGAAAGATTCGCCGATCCCGGGACCTCAGCCCGCAACTCCTTTTAGATCCTGCAAAAAGAGAGGTAGAATCTCCCGGAAAAAGAATTCTATGGGTGAAGGAAAGTCGGAATCGGCGACGCACAATGGCGTTGGGCAGCAAACTGCTGAAACGCATGGTGGCGGAGGCGAGGATGGGTGCATATTATCCCACAAAGGCCTTCAGATCGCCCAGTCCACCAGTGCATGGAGAGACGCTTCTGTAAACGGAGCGGCACTTGGGAGGGGATCTCTTGGCACACTCTTTCTCGTCCTCGTCCCGTCGGCCGGCGCCACCTTCTCCTTCTTAAAACTAAGTCCTGAGTGCTCCCTTTCCGGCAATAACCGCTGTCGGTGGACTTCCTTGGTGGTGGCTTCGTCTAACGATTGTGTCGCCATTGAAGCACCGGTTAGAGAGAGAGAGAGGAAGCAGAGGTCAATTTTTAATAATCTTAATTAGTAGTGAATTGTAACGTATTTTTCAGCGTTCTCTCTCATATAGCGGCGAAAACCCTAGGTTTGCCGAATGACGCTTTATACATAAGGCGTAACAGAGAGTTGGCTCTATAACCTAAAGTACAACCTAATTAGAGGCAGGGAAGCTTATACCTCAAACGGCTTGGCGTGTTAAGGTATTGAGCATCTTGGGTAAAGTATCGACTTTGGCAGTCATGGCAGAGAAGGAAAAGGAACAAGAAACAACAAGATCAAGTGAAGTCGTACAAGAGTGATACAACACGCAACTGGTGGTTTTGATTGATAAACTGGATCAAATCACGCTAGCTGAAGAAGAGGAGGAGCCATTGGAGGTTGATGATTCAGATGTTGACGTCGTGAGGATGGAGGCGGTTCGACGGTTTTTTCTTCTTCTTCTTTCGAACATATATATGTGGGCTTTTAATCTTCCTTTTCTTATTTCATCTATTTTTTTGGGTTGTTCTTTCTGTTATATGAGCTTTTTGATTGTGTGAGCTCTTTATCTCTTAGGCAGGGCTTCTTTCCTTTTATCGACTTTGGTCCAAACTCTCTATCATTTTTTTGTTCATTTAGTGAAATAAGGTTTTCATAAAAAAAAATTACGTCTTTACGACGATTGCACTAGAAGCAAAGCAGAGACGAGCAAGGGCAATTGAAGAGTGGAGCACGTGGCAACTATACAAGACGATTTTACGAAGATTACAGGGATGCTTCAGATAAAAGACGAGAAGACAGAAGAGAGATGCATATTGTAATAACGCTCGTCTAGATTTCCGGAAGTCGGTATTGCATCCTTTCAATCAACACCACGAAATTTCCACAAAGAGACAGAAGCTACTGGACCAAACTCTCGTTCACCACGAATGTATCATACTTGAAAAGATTAGGGAAGAACAAGTGAAATCGGCTCCGATCGGCATCGGGACGTATATAGGAGCAATAACAATGTATGCTGCCGAGGCTTTTGAGAGGTTAGTCCAACATTAATTCTCGAGCTCCAATGGCAAAGAAATCCTCCAAAATAGCTCTAAGAATGTCCCCAAGCCACTCTCTCTCTAGTGTTCGTCCCTTGGGTCTTTGGAAACCAAAACCCAGCTCTCCCCTTCAAAAATCGAATAAAAAACACTTGTATTTGAGCAGGGGCAGAAATACAGCCGTGTTTGTTAGTCCATGTTTCAGCCATGCTCGTGTTTCTTCTCGACACTAAAAACACGAGTACAGAAAAGCAAAACACGGTCGTGTTTCTTCCTCAGCTCCACTTTCGAGTGGCTTTTAAGTGGCCAAACGACCTCTGATTTACCCAAAACTTGCTATATGCCTCTCTTTACACGAAGTTGATAGTGCACAAGCGATTAAGAGTGATATTGAGAATACAGATACATTGACTTACAACCTTTAAAGATCAATGACCTTTACCTTTTCGAAGGGCAACGGGAAGAGACAAACTTAAAACATCGATGATCTACATTTCACACTGCACACAATTCCATGTATAGTTTCATTCAACATCGTGATGGAGGATCATACTTTCCAGGTCCGCCTCAGCCAAAGAGGTCAGTTCCTAGGACCTGAAATATGACAAAAGAACACAACCTAGCGTAAAAAAGGCCAAGGACAATACAAATCAAGCCAAAATGATCAAAAAATGAGGGAGTAAACATGGTGTTATCATTTAAGTGATATTCTAATGGTTTATCCATGTTTAATTGCATGTGGTATTGATCTTGAGTCTTGAACTATAATAGATGACCATTCATCTAGAGTATGGGCTTACTCAATTCATGTAAATTTAAATGATTACATGACAATTGAGTTATTTGAATTGTATGCTCACGGATTAAACTCGTTTAATGACGATAGGTTATCCCCCATCTATGGTGGTCAATTACACGACCATTGGGTTTATCTTCCATGTCTAGGAGGGAAATTGGGTGCATGACCATTGACCCAATTGCCTCATTAGTGATCCTAGCACCTTGAATCACTTTAATTGAACCATTAATTTTCCATCACAAGTCAATTTCTAATATTCTAGGAAGACGATCGATCTCCGAATACTATTTCTTTAACGTGAAGCTTGTTTTAGTTTATTTCATAGTGGGTAATTGCAAGATAATCAAAATTTTCGTCTATAAAACAATCAGTCTTTCAATTTCCAATAGGCTTTCATACCCAGGGATACAACATCGATCAACCAATAGTCTATGTCGTCAAGTTGGGTTATACCTGGTCTAGCTAAGTGTATTAGTTATACCTCGTGTGATGAGTCAACATTCAACGTGACTAAACAAATAATTGCACAACAACACAAGTTGCCTCACCACCATACTTACTTTCCCCTCTTTCCCTCTCACCCACCCCTCCTCCTCCGATGGATGGATGGATTGATCTGTGATCTAAAGAATACAATTGTCAGTAACTTTTTTTTCTCCGCCTCTAACTTACTACCACCACCGTTCATCTCAGCCCATATGCCACTCCTGAAATTTAGTTTCCCTTCTCAACCAAGTTTCTTTATCATACCTTTCTATCTATGATCTCGCCCCCTATTTCCTATTTATCTCTCCACCTATACGTGTATGCTTGAGGGCTAATCTCTCTAGAAATATTCTACGTCTTATGCGATTGTGGTATGTGATCTATGGTCATTTTTTGTTGAGGATCCAAAGTGTTATATTTTTTCCTTAAGACGATTGATTCATTATATTTAATCATATCCATAAATTTCTCTGATGGGTTGTGATTGGACCGAAGAAACCAAAGAAGTGCAAGAGACAAATGATAGACCCTCCAAGAGACGGGGGACATGAAAGAGTGTGAGACTAAATGGCAAACTGTAATATAATGAAAGATAACGAGTATTTTTTTAGTTTTTACTTTTTAGATAGATGTCAGCACCAAAATATTTTCAAGTTGAAACCCACCTTTTACATATATATTTACAATAATAATGTTTAAAATCCTTCTCTTTTCTATGATTTCTTATAAATTTCACTTCCACCGTTCTTATTCCTTTCCTTATGAGAAGATTGCTTGGTGTTCTTTTTTCTTCATTCCGTCTTAAGTTCATCATGCCCAATTCATAATCATTATAAAGAGGAAAAAAAACAGTGTTCAAAATGAACAAGCCAAAATTGAAATGAGAGCACCAAAAATGCATAATAGTAACTGGTAAAGCAAAACAAGTGGAAGCTATATTTCTTACAAAAAAGGGAGATACATTGGATAAGAAGTAATTCATTTTGCAAAAGAAAAAAAATTCTTGTCTGAATCCCTAATACAATGAAAATCTTTAATGTTCTATCAATGTAATAAAAAGAAAAGAGAAAAAAATAGAACAAGGTCACATAAGGAAACTTGAGTAGCTAAAAAAAAAAAATGTAGCCCAAAAATTAGAGATGAAAAAGAGAGACCGAAAGATGAAAATCACTTGATATTACTGCCAGGTAATATCTGAACAATTAGAGACCCATCTAAGCAAGAAAATCTTGAGAAAATGATGACGATGATGATGAAAATATGATAGCAAAACCACCTATGCTTCATGGAGACCTCCCTCAATAGCTCCAAATTATCACTGTTAAATAAGACAAGGACAAAGAGTAAAAAGTTGGGGCTTCTTGGTAATTAAGAGTAGGGGAAAGAAAGGAAAATTTTCCAATTCAAAACAACTATTCACAAACATTACTTATTTCCAATCACAATATGGAACAAGCTTTCTGCGCTTTGCTCTTTTTTTTCTTCTGCTTTGGTGGTTGAAGCACAACCCTAATTGCCGCGTCAAAAACTGCCTTCACATTCTGCATGGATCCATTACCAATAACGATGAGACTAAATTAACCACCCGCCACAATTGCAGAAATGGGCTTAAATTAACCATCCTCTAAATAAATTAGGGCTCCTCTCAGAGAAAATTGGCTTTTACCTCTTGTGTTTTGGAGCTGCACTCAATATAAGCAGGCGCACCAATCAGCTTCCTCAGTTCCTCACCCTATTGCAAACAATGTCAAGGAACCCAAGAATGCATGGTTTCAGAATGCATGTTAAGGGCTCCAAGATTTCAAATAATTGTAATAATATTCCCTTTATGGATATATTGTTACTAGCCTGAGCTGTAGAAATCGGGACAGCACCAGGGTGATCAATGAAGAACTGCTTGTCATCTCGGAGATCTGCTTTAATGAAAATCATGTTAACAAAATGAAATATGCATATCTAAGCATAAGTGTGACGAAACCAATTTATAAATGCATGTGCCATTCATACAAAACAACTGCACCATTTATTTTCAACTCATTTGGGGTGAAAAAACTAGGTTTATTGAACAAGCTACCAAATATTGATAAATTGGATGGCTAAAACATAAAATAAGTGAAATCCATATCAATCATAACACTCAATGTAATTCAACAAAAAAAAAAAAAATGAATACTCAATGTATGATTTTTGTGGTGATGGTTGTTTGCCCTATCTTAGTTGTGAAGGATCACATAGTGACACGTGCCTTAACTAATAAGTTCCAAGGAAAAAAATTGTCACACAAAAGCTACCAAAGATTACACGACAAAAGGATAACTTTAAGAAAAGTGGCTACGAGAAATCTAGTCTACATCTCTCATCATGACTAAATTTCCTACCATATTTGCCCAAAATTAGCTATTATATCAGTCCTCTATGAGTTTCTATAACTTTTCTGCTTGGTCATACTCCAAATCAGAGTAGGAAAGTGTGGAAGTAAAATTAATGATTATTTATATATTGGCTTCTCCGATATGAAACTAGCAACTTCAAATGGATTTATTGTTCCAGTCTAAATTACGAATAACCTAGCATGAGATACATATGCTCCCAACAGTTTTACCTAATAAATTAATAAGTAGCGCAATCAATACAAATCGAAATTAAAAAGACATATGCATAAGCAACCAATGGTTATTTCATTCAACAAATGGAACCAGAGTGAGCAAATGGAATAGATTCCAATTACAAGTCGTCCTCAAACCCATATAAAGTTAATAAATTAATTAATTCCAAGGATATAGAGCATAAAGAATGATCAAAGCATCCACATCAGTGGTGGATGGATATATATTAAAGAACAATAAATGAGATCATTTACCAAGCTTTGTTCCCACTAGAACAATGGGGACGCCAGGTGCATAATGTTTCAACTCTGGAATCCACTGAAAGTGACGACATGAAAGAGAATTGTCACCAATATACCCACATGGCCACATATAAAGCAATGTATGACAAAATATCTCCAAGACAATAGTAAAATTGTCTCGCAAACCTTTTTGGAAACATTTTCATAACTAGCCTTGCTAATGAGAGAGAAAGCCAGGATGAAAACATCTGCTCCACGATAGCTTAAAGGTCTTAACCTATTATAATCCTCTTGCCCTGAAACAAGTTATTTACTTTAGATATTCTTTGGTTATAGTCCTTGTTGTATTCCCTTATGTTAATAAAATGCAACATCAATGGCACAAATAAATAAAATATAAAAACAATCAAGATGAAGATGAAGATAAATTACCAGCAGTATCCCACAAACCCAAGTTGACAGTTGCACCATTGACAACCACATTTGCACTGAAATTGTCAAATACAGTAGGCACGTAATCCTACGAGTCGAGATAACAAAATAATCCATTGTTATTACATGTAAAAAATTCATCATCCACTTCATAATTCATGACCTATCGAGGAAAACCATACAAATATCACTTTGTTGTTAGGGACTTAAAAATATTAATTATTCATAACTTAAATGATATTAGACGCGCAAGGAACATTAAAAAAAAGACAATTGAACGCACGATGGAAGAAAGAGTAATCGAAAAAATTGGGAAGGAGGCAAACCAATAATAATTACTGTACCGTGGGAAAAGTGTTGCTGGTATAAGAAATCAACAGACATGTTTTCCCAACAGCACCATCGCCAACAGTGACACACTTGATGAACCTTGAAGCGCTCATCTCTACTTATTATTCCCTCTTTTTCTCCCTTCGACTTTTGAATCTCTTTCCTTCCCTTCAGTTTAATGATGAATACAAATTGGAACCCAGAATAAAATACTAATGAAAAAAACTAAAGCCTCAGATCTTCGCCTGAGGACCCTCCTCCTTATCACACACAATAGGATTGTGAGCCAACACCACTTCCACCACAGTCACTAACAATACTTCCACATCAAGAATACATCCCTTCATCAAGAAGAAATCAAGGGAAAGATTAATAAGAGCGAGATAGAGAATGAATTTTTTTATTCAATCAAATGGGGAAATGAAAACCATAACCAGGGTAGTGGTGTGGATTTTGGGATACAAATTGAGAACAGAATTAAACAAAACAAAAGAAAGGAAGAAAGAAAGAAGAAGAGATGGATGGGAGAGGAAAATATGGTGGAGGGAAATTCGGGAAGGTGGGAGAAAAGAGATGGGTGTGTGAGGGAGGGAGAAGACAGTTTGGTTGGATGGTGGGTGCTTGTGTTACCATGTCCGAAAAGTGTTGCGATTGAAGCGTTCGTTGAACCAACAATTATTTGCCAACTAAGCCTTTCCTTTCCCGATTCTTTGAATAATGTTCTTCAACATTCTTCACTTATTAATAATTCAACTCTCCTACATTTTCTTGTACTTTTATAGCATAAAGCTCGGAAGAAAGAATACATATGGCTTTGTTTAGAAAAATATATATATAAATTGGTGGCCGAGGAGGGCCCTCCTATACCATTTAATTACTATCCTCGAGCTTGATTCAACCCTTATGGCCCAACTCCTTCTTTAGCCTCAAGGGGTTAACACATACTACAAGAAAAATGCTCATGAACAACGGAATAATCCATAATTTGTGAGTGAAATCCGTCGTTGATAATCATTAAAGGCTCATTAACAGAGGAAAAATCCCTCCATGTACATAATATGAAGAATCAATCCTAAAGTATCATGAAAAGGTTAGTAAGAAAGAAGCATCTGAAATAAATAAAGATGTGGACAATCAAGCTTTTTAAATAGAGGGTGACTCTTAGTTTGTCTATATTTGAATGGACAATTAAATTACGGCAAGTGTTCCCATTAAAAAACCCGGCAAGTGTACCTGTTGCAAGGTCATATTCCATGAAGACATATAGACAATGAATACCAGTAATTAGCTCTACTTGTATTATACAACAAGTTCTTTCAACATAATTTGACTACGAAGCAACTTATAAAGCAAATGACTAAAGTTGAATTTCACGAGAGAAAGTTAAAGTAGAGAAGCGTTGATCATATTCCAATACCCTAACTAGCAATCAAAGCATTGACGGAACGTTCTTTTTTAGGTGTAAGAATTCTCAATTAATGTTAACCTGATATTATCATATATTGGCATACTATTAACCAATCATTTGGAATTGCTTATCACATTAAACGATTTATGAATTTTCATATTAAGTTTGACCCTAATTCGGAGGTCCTTCGCAGTTTTTTATTTTAACAACTCGATCAGTCCCAATTTTTTGACGTGTTCGTAAGATTAAAATCTAGCCATGCTCTTGCCTTTTCATATCGGGAGAAAGGGAAGAGGATCAACCTAATCACATCAATGTTAGCTTCTCTGACCTTCCAATGAATCACATATATGTAGAAATGTCTGCACATGTTGCATGTGATTATTGTCATCCCTTCAGCGAAAATTTCCCTTTTGTTGTATCATTTAAATTAGGGGAGTGCATTGCTCTATGGTGGTGGAAGGGGAGAGGTGCTATATGCAATTTTATAGGATTTGGATCGCATTGATTCAAAGAGTTTGGGCACACCCAAGCCACTATCTTAGCTAGCTGCTCTAATATCTTTTGGATCTTTTCGCCATTCCTACTGAGAACTGGACTAATAAACCAAAATATGGAAGAATAAGTACAACATACCAGGTGAAGGCGGAGTTATGGAGAAAGGCTGAAGATCACGGTCTAGAGAAGGAAGATTGCGAGCAGGAACGAAGGACGAGAAGAAAGAGCTAAGATCGCGGCCTCCAGCCTAAAGATCACGAACACGATCTATGGAGTGTTGGCGCGAACTTGTAGAGGCAGCCAGCAAAGGAGAAATGGAGAATTTCCCCAGTTGAGTCACGACCACCGTCTTGCGAGCCCGTGAGGAAGTTCACGGACACGACATCAAGGATCGCGACCAAGATGTTAGACTGCGAACTCTGAGTTTTCAACACGTAAATAAGCTGACCAGAGATCGCGGCCTCGCCTCACAAGTTCATGACTGCGAACTTTCGCCCCTTGACCATGAACTTTTCGTGTTTCCAGGATTCTTTAAATAGGAGACCCCTTTACCCCTTTGAGTTGAGGTAATTTTGAGAGAATTTTAAGGTTTTAGAGAGAGAGAAGAGAGAGAAGATGGAGGAAGGAGAAGGAGCTAGAAGAGAGGGACAATCTTCCTCAACCCAAGTCTTCTTCAATTTCGTCTATGTTTCTTCTTCCCTCCTTAATGGAGTAGTCCTCAAAGGTAATAGGAGTTCTAAACCCCAAACACTAGTTTTAGATTTATTATGTATGTATGAATATTTAGGGTTTGAATGAATGAATGTGTATCTAGTTGATTCTATTGCTATTCTATCTTTGATTGTGTTTGGGTAATTCGTCGTAATCTTTATGCTTCTACGATGGGTATGGAGTTCTAGGGTTTGACGGGTATGCACCATCAAGAAAATCAAGATAGATGTATGAATAGAGACCTATGGTGGTCGAGGCGACCGAACCCCTGGTGTAGGTTAGCCTTCCTAGATAGAACGGGATAAAACCTCGGTGTGGACGATGGATAGTGTCCATTGAAATGAGCCATAAGCTTAATGCCAAAGATACGATAGCGTAGATCGAGGTGACTATATATGGGTTTAGGGGAGGCTTACTCGGAGGCGTGTGGAAAGCCCACGGAAAAGAGCTCACTCACCACATTCGATAACCCTAAGTATTTATGCATGCATAGGGGGCATGAGTAGTTCCTTTAAGTACCTGCTTTTAGCTTTGATCAATCTCTAGTCTAGTTATCTCCTCAACTCCACTCAAACCTCCAAAACCTATTAACTAATTAGCACATAATTCATGTAGGCTGAGCCAAAAAATGTGCCTTGGCCGCCAATTTTGGAGAGTCCCATATGTACCTAGATTTGAGAGAATATGCCATACTTGGAGGCTAAGCTATAAATAAATATATATGATTTGGCTAATGGAGTTCTACCCTACTTATCTTTCAAAAAATATGATAAAAGAGCTTATAAATAAACCCCTTTCGATAGTACATGACAGTGCAACTCTCCAAACTAAAAAATTGGCCAAAACTCAAGGGAAAATCAGCATCAGAATTCGTTTCCTAGGCACCAAATTTCCTTCTTGGCCACCGATTTAGGAATGCTTTGGGAGTCTTGTCTTTGACTGATATTCTCAATGGTATTATTCCTACGAGCGTCTAATTTGTTAGTTAATTAGGTTTGCGAGACCTTGATCGTAATAATCTCACGATTTGGAAAGGGCAGTCCCAACCTCGACCGTGACATTGCTCCTTTGGCGTAACATCATACCTCATCTCTCCTAGGTGCTTTTCAGTCCCTGATCATTTCAGAACTTAAAATATGACAACAAACACAACCTAGCATTAAACGGGCAAAGGATATGGTCGTTTCCAAACAAAATGACCAAGAAAATATCAAGACACACAAGGTAAAACATGTATGATTCAGTAAGTATCACACTTTAATGACACTTCAAAGTAATACTTTTCCTATCTCATTCTAGATTAAATTATCTATATTTTATGCATTCTTAGAGGTTTAACAATGTAATTTTTTTACTATTTGTCCAAAGTGTGATTTATAGAACTTAGGTGTGTTTTTTGACTCCTTGACATTTGACAAGCACACTTAGGACAAGTTATGGAGTGAATGTGGACTAGAATGAAGCAAAATTAAAGACCATAAGCAAAAAAGACTGATCGTGTACCAGCTAGGAGCGAGCCAAGATTTCGTCTAAGGTGGGTCCACTTGGAAAACAAATACTCATGATAAAATAGCTTTTGTTAATCCCTCATGATTTAATCTTATGTTTAAAAAAATTTAGTTTAATTAAAATACATTATTAGTTGAAACTATCAACAATATCACTCTCTTTGTAGAAAAGAATTATTCATGATTTAGTTAATCATTCGCTTCCGAATGGTGTTCTTTTTTTAGAACCGTTAGTATTGATAACTCGAGTTGTTGAGAGAGACTTCATATACCAAACAATTATTCATAATTTATTTAGTCATTTGATTTCGAATTATTGGTATTTCTATTTATTTCTTAGCAAGATTAAGATTAAAGTACTTATTACTGGTGTCATAGATAAATATGTTTTTAGATCTCGCATTTCAAAAACTAACCCTTTTATTTCTTCTTTAGTGAAATAATGAAGTATATTATCAATACCGAGTCGATCCGAGATTTTGAAATTGGAGAGTAAGTAAGGAAATTACCTTCCCGTAATTGAACCTTCGAACCGTGCAGTGTTGTAGCTAACGTGTTAAGTATTTTGTCTGGGGACGCTACAAGAAAACTCGGCTATAGAGTCAGAGGTTATTTGCATCTAAATGCTAGTTATTTGTTTGTGTATATCTTTTGAAGCGAATAAATTATTTGCATCGGACGCCTCTGTCTCTAATTCTCTTTAGAAGTAAATATAGATGCAAATAATATTTGCTTCTAATTAAGGAATCTGAATCAAATCTTATTGATTGTAATTCCACTTTAAAGAACCTATCTTTTTCTCTTCTTATTTGGTTTTATAGAGAAATATTTTTGTTCCTATTTCTAGTTTTGGAGACAATTATAATTGTTTCTAAAACACCTTGCAAAAGCAAATATTTGCATCGTGAGCAAATACTTTTACTTCTATTTCAACTTTAATAATCTTGATTAATATTTTAAATTTTACCTTCAACGAGACCCAATATCTAACAATTCAAATTTTATTAATAACATTTTAATATATTTATTCTTAAAATACATGAATACATTGGCCATAAAAACATAAATAAGAAAAATAAATAAAGAATAAATTGTGCCTACAACATTTATGAAGCTAAATCATCTACCCCGCACTAGTGACTCCGTTACAACCTATCATTGACGGACCAAGACCAAATTTCAGTCCAAGCGTTGTTCTTCTCCTTTTTTCCTTGTCCAAATCTCTAACAACCGCAAACAGAACATATCGATTCATATGAGGCCTCTGTTGTCGCTGCTTCTTCGACCTCAAGATTGCATAAGCTCGTCCCATCTAGCCCTCGAACAAACAGATTGGGAGAAGAGACGAAGAAGCCCCACCCTCATTCGATTAATTACTAGAACACCAACGAAAAACATCAGAGATTCTTCATATGAAGTCCAAATCCAACTCAAGCAACGTCCACTAA